TCCGAAAGGGTACTCTCTTCGGTAGTGAGATGTGCGTAACATGACCGTGGAATACGACGAGAACGAAAATACACACGAAACGGTGGAAAGAAGGAAAAGCGAAGCGAAGAGAAAGACCGAAAGAGAACCAAAGAAAACAAAACAAAGGTGCACAACGTTTATTACCGAACTATCGATTTCATCATATTGCACATACGCACAGGAAGAATCGGTTAACACAACTCACAACAATAGCGAAGAGAGAGAGAGAGAGAGAGAGAGAGAGAGAGAGAGAGAGAGAGAGAGCTCGAAAAAAGAGGTGAACACCGAACTTTTTTATGTTCAAATGTTTATTTCAATTTTCGAATAATTTTTATTGCAAACGGGGTAAAATGATTCATCATGGCGTCAACACAATCGAATAAAAAGATGTGTTTTCTTTTCCAGTTTTTTTTTTCGTGTGTGTGTTGTGCCTATTTCTTTTAGAACACTGAAAATAAATGATTGTTTGAGCGATGCGTTGTCTTCGGTCGAAAATCTTACGTTTTTTCTTTACCTGGAATAAAAACTACCGAATACCGTGAACACCGATAGGGTGAATATTGATCGGGTCTCGCTAATGTTTTCTTCTTTTTTTTTGTGAATGCAATTTAAACATGAATAATTTTTACTCGTTTTTCTTCTCGGTGAATTGTCATTTAGTATTTAGTTTACATGTCGCTACCGGCATTTTGCTACATTCACATTAACGATTTGGAGAGAAAAAAAAAAATGGTTACTTTTACTCGCGAACGGTTTTCAACGGCACTTATGAAACAAAGATACGGCTGACGAGACTCGAACTCATTTGAATTTCTAAAATGCTTTTAAGGCGGTTTTTTTTTTGCTGGTGATTTTCATTGAAAAAGTACAGAGAAATGAGATGGGAACTTTTCAGTTTTAATTCAATTTCCGACGAATTTTTACTCGTTTTTTAGATCGACGCAACAAAATTTCGACGATCTTAGTTCTAACTCGAACTTATGTATACATATTGACATCAATACATGTCTTGATAATTTTGCACAATCTATTTGTTCCTATAGAAGTGCAATTTACCGTTCTTTGATCATTTTCCAATGAAACTCTCGGGTAAAAAGTCTCTAAAAGATACCGACAATTTTGTGTTTTATCTAAAGATATCGATCATTTTCTATTCGTACCTTCAGCAATTCAAAAAGATAGGTAGAGAAACAGATGAGAAATCAATAAAAATGAAGATACGCGTTGCGATGACAATATTTTGTCGAAAAACGACGATGCTTTCTGCTAAACTGTTTCATCAAAATGGCAAAAAAAAAAAATTCGGTGGAAAAAGAAAGTCGAGAGTTTTTTTTATTTCATTTGTTTCGAAGGGTCTTGTGCATCATGGGAATTTGGATCGAGGTAAAAGGTAAAAGATGAAAAGGTAATACAAAGTTTAAATAGTTCACGAAAACCGAAAATAAATGAATTTGCTGGTATCCTTTTGCGATGTGAACAATGGCAGAGTGCGTCAACGGTGAGATATATTTGTGTGTTCTGTGTTCCGCTACACATAAATCTCCGAAAAATGCACATGCACACACACTGACTTCGACATTTGCCCCTTTACATGTGGTACATTACTCACTCGTCCTCGTCATCAACTATTTACTTTCTTTAAAAAAAAATAATTGAAGATTGTGTCCTGCGAGAGGTGCATATGAAGCTGAGAAAGAGAAACGAAATTGAGGCTTTTTGCGAGAAAGACAGAGAGTGAAACAAACAAAGACAGAGAGAGAGAGAGAGAGAAAGAATTAAAATCTATGTACACTAAATTTAGCGTAAAGCATCATTTAACCCCTATAGTAAATTGTGTTTCGATGTGATGCTATCAGACAGTTTGTGCCTGCGAGAAGAAAACGAAATTCAATCCATTTGCAGCGAGTAATTTATTATGAGAAAAATAAGTTGGAAATGCACCCAAAAGCATCAAGACAAAGTAAATGACGGCACTTTTTCCGGCATCAAGTTATCTCTTTGAGCATTACATCCTTTATTTCGATGGCACAAAAAAAAAAAGAAGAAACGAGCAATTTGAATTGTATCATACGTCGTCGATTTCCTTTGCATATATCGGTTCACGGTGCTACAGTTATTTTGATGAAAATATGTTAAAATTATTCCATTTGTTTTGGTGTTCAAGGATGAAAGAAGCCGTTGACAATGCTTGAATTGGCATCAGGTAAGAGATTGGCTGCGATGCAAATTCAACGAGTACAAAACAATACAATAAGACCCATTTGTTGAGGTTGATGAGTATCTGAAAAGCCGTTGAAGATGTAACGGTGCGTGAGCGGGGTGAAGCGATTCGTTAGCAACTTGAATAAAATGTATCACATGTAAATGAATCGAGCAGAAATTTACCTGGATCTGACACAGCCGAAACCACCGGGTTGCCGTCAACGGCCAAAGAAAACTGGATTCAGGTCATTATCGTTTTGTTTATTCATTTGCAGTCCGGGAACATCCTCAATGCGCTACAAAAACTTAGTTTTTTCACATTGTTTTTGTTTTCTTGTTTTTTTTTTTTTTCTTTTATTTCATTTGCTCAATCATGTTATGAAGCATATATACACTTCCCTTTGTAACGTCTCATGTGACATTTATGACCGTTTTCGCACCACTACCTGACACTCGCTTTTCAACTTCTCGACTCGTTAATAAATCGCTTGATGTCGTGCATTCGCCAAGAAAATTTTAATAATTTCGAACAACGAGCGAGGAAAAAAATTACAGTGGAAAAAGAGCCGTTTAAAATGGGTACCCATTGATTTATTTTTTACGTTTGGAATTAACAAGGTTTTTTATTTCCATTGAGAATTCAACTATTTTCTGCGAGAACTTGGTTTCACCGAGAAAAGGAGTCAAATATTACGGAATGTCGTTTTCACTTCGAGAGTGACCAAAATGCACCAAATTGCTAATGATTGTTGGAATTAAATTGCGAGAAAGTCATTTTTTGACCTGCTCCAGATACTTTGTTCATACCTGAAGCAGTTTGAAGAACGAAGTTTTTCGTAAATATGGAAATAGTTGTTACACACAAATCGCTTGGTATTCGTCTTCGAATCGAAATCGATTTGGGTATTTTTTTGATATCGCGTGTATCCGATTTCAACAGACGGGTTAAAAAACAAACTGTGGGCTTTCTGTCTGAAATGGAATCCGTTGACACTTTTCCTTGAAACCGAAAAACTGTCACACGAATATACAAATTCCATGCGATTCGATTATTGGGAGTAAAAAAAAAGGGATCACAACTGCCTGACAAACGAAAATCGAACGCATACTCAGTGCATTCAATCAAATATATGTGCATGTAATGAGATACTAAAATAAATGATATTTTATAACCCTAAACACACGAAGCAGCGACTGATTCGCTCGGGTGAAAGAAATTTTTATTTCTTTGCCTGCATTCGTTTGTTTCCTTTTTCCTTGCCAAGAGAGTTTCTTAACTTCTCGAAAAAACGCAGTTTCGCGTTATATTTAGTAAATATTATTTACCGTTTTCCATGTGAATATTCGACCAAAATGAGAGTAAAAAAAAACGCGTCGATATTCCGATACACACACACACACATAAAAAAATCAAATGCTATTAGCTAAATTTAACGATGTTGTGTGTACGCATCACGGTTTGAACCCCTTGCCAAATACCTCAACCGTATACGCGAACACAATTCTCAATGAAAAGAGAATCGAGAGAAGAAAAAAAATGCCAAAAGATGAAAACCTTTAACCAGATTATTGAAAAAAGGAGTAGAAACGAAACGAAACGAAACGTGAAGAGAAGAGAAAAAAAAAGTTCACGGAAAAATCAACAGACAGCCAAAAATTAAATGGCAAAGAGATAACCTGATCGAATAGTTATTGATGAACTCTTGCACTCGCACATTCGGAATGCAGGGTGAAGAAGAGAAAGGCAAAGAAAACAAAAAGGAATTGTTGTTGCATCGAAATTACGTAATTTTCGGTGTGCCTGCGATTGAACCATCAATGAGCAGACAGAATTCCATCCTCATTCCGCACATAATCCACTGCCGAGCCGAGCCGAGCCGGCAATGAAAACGGGATGAAATCGTAGACAAATATAAGATGCGAATAAGAAAAATAAGCAGGAAAAAAGAACGAACGAACGAACGAAACGGAACAGAACGAGAGAAGAGAAAGACGAAGGGACCAATTTCCACACACGCATACAGACGCACGCACGGAGAGCAAGAACGAAAGAGATTTTGAGTAATAAAACTCTACCATTCAAGGGTGAATAAGGGTGAACAATTTAACCTTAATATTTCTAACCTATGTCCTTCGTTTCATTAAATTATATAAATTATCCGATGCAAACAATAGAAAAACGATGAACCGAAGAAATCTCGCTCTCTCTCGCTCGCTTGCAATCAACAATGTCGGATTCTTCTCATTTTTTTTTTGGTACTTTTTTCGTCTTTTTCTCGACTGTTTTTTTTTCTCGTCGATCTTTTGTGAGAGGGAAGAAAACGATAGAAGAGGTTAAACGATTACGGCCGTCTATACTTGTCCCAATGTTTTCCTCACTGAACAAATATGAAATCAAATTGAATGAAATATTTGTTGAAGAGTGCAAAAAGTATTACGAAGCATGAAGACCTTATCTATTTAATATCTCTGCTTTTTCGCAGAAGGATATTAGTACCACATTGAACGGAATCGAATATAGTGGAAACGATTGCATTTTACTTTGTGTGACTTTTTTTTTTCCTAAAAAAAGGTAAACTTGAAAAAGTATTTGAATCGCTTTCTCTTCCATTTGTTTTTCTTTAAAAAAAAAAAAAAGTGCAATTTGCAAGCCATGGGAAAATCAGCACGGAGTCTGCGCTGACTGACTCAGTAAAGAAGATGCAACATAAAAAATGATACTTAGATCGATTAATGGTTCGACGAAAAGAAAAAAATGAAGCGATAAAAATACTCACAGTTATTCGCTAGATCACGAATCGACGCAGCAGCCGCTTCATTTCGTCGGTTAAATGCGTCCACTACATCATTCGGTGACATCGTTAAGCCATACACGGAGAGCAAGTCTTGAACGGCATTATATGCATTTTCTGTGAGAAATGAGACATTTTTGATTGAGTATTTTCCATCAGAGTTTTCGGTCCTTAATTTTCGACAAATATTTTCGAAGCTTGAATCGGTCGAGTTGCTGTTCAATTTAGAGACAGGGCTCTTAACTCTTTTTAAGAAGAAAAAAAAAAAACCTCCCGAAATGTTTCTATGCTACACTTTTCTTACCTCCGCTAGCACCATGCCCATTTCCCAACGGTGAACTGGGTGGTGACTTAAGGCTGTTACACGATTCATTGTTATTTGATGTGGTTGACCTGTCCGAATCACCGCCGGTCATCTGTTGGTCCACTTTACCGTCATCGTTCCATCGCTTGAATTGGCCTTGATGCAGTTCCTGTTGCAGTTGTTTCATTTTGTTCTGCATCATCAGGTTGAGGATGAATTGGTCGGTGAGCGATGGTTCAGCAGCAGCAGCGGTCGCTACATCAACGGCCGTTGCATTACGTGGTTTGAAATTTTTCCGCTTATTTTTCGTGGTTGCTTGCATATCAAATTGCTCTAGTTGTGCTGCCTCATTTTTTACACTATCGAACTCTTTATCTGAGCCGAAACGCTGCTCTAAATCGCTTGCACTTGAAATCAATTTAAATACCGATTGTGCATCGAACGCATTTAATGCGTTTGCATCGGTTTTATTTTGAATGGCAGCATCGGTTATTGACAGTGCTCGCGTCTCAGCTGCCGATGCTGTTGATTGCAATTTTGCCAGTATATCGCCTCGATTCATTCTCACCGTCGTTCGTTACTGCTTTGCTCTCTCTCTCTCTCTCTCTCTCTCTCTCTCTCTCTCTCTCTCACGAATGTATGTATCAAACCGCTCTGTGTTGAGCACGTATTCGCTCTCGTTCTCTCTCTCACTCAGTACGTTTCCACTTTATTGCTTCGATTCTGAATCCGAAAAGAAATGTCAGAAGAAAAAAGGTAATTTATTGATAAAGGAAAAACTTTTCTCAAAAAAAGTAGAGTATTAAATTTCTTTCGCTGATACGAATGAAATCGAATCAGGTTTTTTTTTTCAAATTTTCTTAGACCAATTTTCTACCTAGAGTATCCACCAAGTTTCGAGTCGAAAAAGGCAATAAACTTAATCGAACCAAATGAAATTAAATCGTCCGTTTGACTATTTCGTTCATGTGCTTGCCGTTTTTTCCGCTTTTTCTGTACAGAAACCTGAACCGATTCGATGATGAAAAAAAAAACGAAATTGATTTGACTTGCGAATCTTACAATCGATTGATTCGTTATAATCCGTAATCGATCCTTTTTTCAGTGCGATCGCATAATGAAACAAAACGAAATGAAATAAAAAATCTACTCGAAAAGCACGAAATTGAATCACTCTCTCTTTCTCTCGCTCAGATACCGGGCAACATTTTTCATTGAATTAACTGTTTGTCGGTGTTACAACTTGCGATTGAGCATTGTGATGGTCGCATATTTCTATGCTGAGCAATGGTTTGCCCGAACGGTATAGATCTTGAAAAGAAAAAGAAAATTGGCGAAAACCAATGAAAAATTTACGTGAAACACACATCTTTGCACAACAATAGAAGCACAAAAACGCCGCAAAAAAATGTATCAAGTAAATGTGTGTATTAAACACGGTGCGCATCATTGCACATGCAAATATTCAATCAATTGGCACATGTTCAAAGACGATCACACTGCAATAATATCTTGTGCTCGCGAATTTATCACCCGAAATGAAATCAACTAACACCAGAATGAAACAGTACGAGAGAAAGAGAGAGGAGAGAAAAACAACAAATTCACAACAAAAACGCGGCGAAATTGGCATTTTGTTGTTGAATACAAAAAAAAGCAACAAATTTCGATTACAGCAAACGGCAATAACAAAAACAATGAGCAAAAAACAAAATCGGAGTCTCTAAAAATATTCGCAATTTGTTGAATTGACTTTGTTAAAAGGCGAGCGAGCGCGCGCGCGCACACACACACACACACACCAGCAATCACGGTTGTCTCGGATTACAATGAATCACCTTTTGGGCGATGCTTTGCGTCAACCGAATCGGTTCGGTTTTCTCGCGATATTGTTGTTTATCTGTCTGTCGTTGCTACTTCTAATTCTTTGTCTAATCATCATCAATTCACTAAAGTCAAATTCGATTTCGTTCCGTCGCTTACATTATTAGATTTGCGTGTATGGTTTTGGTCTCATTTCTCGATCGATTTCTCGGCGATATTTTTGTTTTCTTTTTGATTTATACATCGATATATGCTGTTTGTATTCGATTTGGTCGAGGCGATCGGTGCATTTTATCACAAGGTTTCGCTTTTATTGTTTCTCAATCGAAATGGGTGAAACAAATAAGTAAAGTGAAATGTTTTTAAATTAGAATTTCATGTGAACCGATCGATTTTTCGGCGAACTAATCACCATGGGCACGTGATAAAAAAAAAATCGAGAGAATTTCCTTCATTCAGTTCGGTTTCGAAGGGCCTTTTCTTCTTCTCGTTCTCAATGCATTCTTTTTATGTTCTGTTTTTTTTTTTTTTTCTGTCGATGTCGCGATCGAATTTATTGGCATCACCTCGAAATCACATTCAATTATAAAAATTTCATCAGAATTCAATTAAATCGTGCTGCGTGTGCAAAGCATATGAAATTTCATGAGCTCATCAAACCATTTTTTTTTTCTTTTTTTCTTGATTGTGATTTGATGTCGGTAATTTCTTTTGCATACAATTTTAACCAAAAACTGATAAATAATGAAAGAAGAAAGAAAACCCGATTTATGGCTGTCGATTTTATCAAAATCGAAATTTTTCATTGTTTATTCGAACAACGGAGCAACAATGTAATCAATTGTATACATAAGCCATCGACTGGGTTTGCACTGAAAATGATAAAATGAAGCAAAAGAAGGAATATTACGTGGAGAATATTGTCAACGATTGGACAAATAATGCGGCACATTGTTTTGACTTGATTATTTGGTATTTACATTTTTCGAAATGTTTTCTCATCAATTTTTCTTAAATGAATTAAACGATTCAGTTTTTATATTTCTTTCCAAACATTGCAACAAATTAATTTTTCGGTGTCTGTATACAGTGCGGGTCTTTTATAAAGGAAGTCATTGTTTTACTCTCGATTCATGTACGAATGGTGTTTACTTCGATGTGTACGAAACGAAAAATATGCTTGTGGAATGCATTGGAAAAGGGGAAATAAAGAGGAAAGATCGAGAGAAGCGAAACAAAATCGATTGAAAAAAATGAACTTCAATCTAATCGATCATTTTTTGTCGATAAATAAATGATGGTTTTAGAAGAGAAAAAAAAATTGCTGCCGAACACTTTTAACCCTACTTGCGACCCGGCAACAATCGATTCGGCGACAGAGCCGAAGCCGAAAAAGTATCATTTAGCATTAATAACAATTAATCTTCTTTTCTTTGGTGCAGTCGCATTGCGAACTACTGCAGAAAGTTGCACCACGTATATGCTGCATCGACTTGTATCATTACGGAGACTTATTTCCGTATTTCATTTTCTGGCATCGTTGTGTACGTGTGTTTGCATCCCTGCGTCGAATGTAACACGCACGCACACATTCACATCCATTATCCTTTTCATACGTTCGTACTCGCCGTGATTCATCTCACTTCTGATGGCATTTTCTTGTTGACAGTATACAGAGAAAGGTGACGTAGACGCAATGCCAATGCTGCACCATGAATGAACGTGTGAACTTTTGATTTCTTCGTGTGTTATTTTGTTCTTTTTCATTTGTTATTTTCACTATTTTGATCATTATTAATCGATACGTTTTTTTTTTTTTTTTTTCATTCGGCATCAAGAAAAAATCTGATACTTTTCCTTGATCCCGTCTTTTGGTTCAGAGATTTTGAACAAAAGAAATGCGGCACTTTTTTTTTTTACCGAACCCGATCACATCGAATTCGAAATGAAATGTTGCTGACGAAATGAAAGCAGAAAAAAAAAAAACGTCTCGAGACATTTCAGATCATTAGTACTTCGAGAGTGGAAACGCGAAGAGAGAAAAAAAACACGCTCGATAAATAAATGAAAATGTTTGCAATGTATGAAAGAATAGCGACCGAAGGCAACAAATACGAAGAATAGCACATTTAAGTGAATTCGCAGTTTATCGAAAATTGTTGCATTTTAAATAAATTATGAAAATCATTCCGACTCGCGTATACGTTCGTAAGCAAGAAATGATGTAAGATGATTGAAATGTGTGTGAGTGTGTTGTGCAACCGATGCACCGACTTCATCTCATCCGACATCATCAGAGGATTTAACACTCGTGCGCATTTTACATGGATTTAGCAGAAAAAACCGCGCGCATTGTGCTAATTCATATTGAAATTTAGAATCTGGCAATTATCGCCGATTGGCTGAAATGGCGTGATGTGCCAATTTTCATCGTATGTTTGTGTGTGAGCGAGCGACGAATCGGCTTTTTTTTTTTGAGTCGTTTCGTGATTTTTGTTATTTGGGAAACGATTGGAAACGCCTCTATTGTCGGGGCACTTGCGGTTATTTCAGCTCGAAATATTCCGATTAAATCAAAGTCAATTGACAAAGCAACAATGCAATATGAATGTGGTGTGCTCGCGGTCCAATTTTGAATACTCCCCGCTCATAACGGACGAACGGTTCATCAAGCGCATCAAGCGCGAGATTTAGTCAATGCGCTTACAAAGTATCAACATTTTTTTTTTTATATTCAAAGTATTGCATACCGATTACGATTTCGTTGTGAATTGTTTGAAAAGTCCGAATAAATCGATTCAAACTACTGAATCCGCTTGAATCTCACTCTTTTGGTCCTTTTCTTTCTGCAAATTACACATGCCAATTCGAGGAAATCAAGAAAAAAGATCGTCTTAACAAATACCGACAAATTTCTCCAAAATAAAATCCAAAGAAGACACAAAATCCAACGGAATGACAAAGAAACCGTCAAGTTTTTTTTTTTTTTTTGCTGGGAGCCGCATTCATTGACGCAATTCAATTTAAGTCGTTTCCATATTTTAAATTCATATTTTTCATAGCTGTTTATTGTTTACGATTTGTGCTCTTTTCTGACTTACATTTCAATGCACGAAAAGTGACAAAGACATGGAACATGAGCGCGATCAAGAATGTTTCCAGTTGCAGCGAGAGTGATGGAGCGTTAGGATACATTCGAATGCGACACATCCAGCCAAATGATTACGCATACTGAAGATGTGAAAACAATCAAAGTAATTTCGAGCAGAAAAAAAAAAACGAATTGGACGGGAAAAAAAGATGAATATAAAAGCGCAAAAGACACATTACCCTATGTATTTACTTCAATTTTTCGTTTCCACATATATTTATTTTCTGTGTGTGATGATTTGTTGATTCTCTTGTGTTTGTCGTGTTCTTGGTCTCAAAATATGCGACGCGCGTTCCCAAATGCGTGTGCATAATGTTCCATATCGTTTGGAGAGTGAAAGAATATTTTACTCCACATAAATGCGAGAATTTCAATCGAATTCAAAGCACACAACAATATCGCGCTAACTCACTCAATTTCGAAACGGGCTGCCTGTGTGTGTGTGTGTGTGTGCGTGGAGCAGCGGGCTTGGATTGTGCACGCGCACGCGACTTTGAAACAGCAACACATAAAATAAAAAATCATCATTTAAATAGTCTGCCCATGTATGAATATCGAATTGACTTGACTGTATGTAGTTACATTCGTACAATTTTATATTTCTTCGCATTTAATAAAGAGGAGAAAAAAATTGAATTCATATTCTTCATATGGAATTTATTGAGCACTTATTGCTATTGTTACTGTTGTCGCTGTCGCTGTTGCCGTTGATTTGTTTTCTTGGCAAGTGAGCGAGAGAGAGAGAGAG